TATCCAATCAAAATGTGCCAGAAGAAATGTCAATTTCACATAATAACAAGCTAAATATAGTTACAATCACTAAATATATAATAATAACATTATTTAATTCAAAGTGGCTATATCTACGGGTCCGTAAACAAACTTCGCCAGGCTATATTTACGGCACTCTATGTACCGAAATGCGAAATATTTCGCGTGTTTCTTTTGAATTGCGACCACTTGAATAAATTATTTCTACTTGATTGCTCACAATTCAAAAGAAACAGGCGAAATATTTCGCATTTTGCTGACAAAAAGCGCTCGTGAAATCAGGACTTAAAGCGTATTGTTTACAAAGGATTTCAGCGAGCTCGAAAATAGCTCAGAAGGTTAGGCAAATGGCTGCTGTGTTGTAGTCCGCGGGTTCGAATCCGAGTTTGTGACGGATTTTTGTTCGCCTTAACAAAACATGTTTAACTTTTTTTTCTGACTAGTTTTAATTTTTTCAGGGGTTAAGGGAAGGATTGGGGTTAGGGTTATTTTTGTTTTAATTTGACTTTAACTATAAATACAGGCCGTATGGAGACTAAGAACGAGAGTGCCGTAAATATAGCCTGGCGAAGTCTGTTTACGGGCCCGTAGATATAGCCACTTCGTATTTAATTATAGCATTAACCAATTATCAAAACAATACATTAAATATGGCATGAATACTCATACTAGAAATAGCCAATCGGAGTTACAACCATGAACTATAAAGGCAGTTGTAGGACACAAACATTTAATAACATGTGTATCAGGGCTTCATTTTTCTTTGCCCGCCAGCTGTGAGAAAAATGAAGGTCTGGGCACAGGATATAATCCCATGTAAACAGAGATGAAATTTGCCTCAGTAAAGCAAGCTGTGAAGTTTTGTATTGGGGCTGGTTTGCCTCCAGACAAGCAAACCTCTGTAAAATGTAAAACTGCCCCCCCCCCCCCCCCTCCAACCACTAACATCTTTCTGGTCTTTCTAGAATATAGAGCAACAACAGTAATAGACACAAACTGTAATTATTTTGTTATTACATACAAATCTATATTAATTTTGGACCCCATTTTCCACTTTAATTACACACTTCTTGAACTGAACAATTTAGTAATTTACTACCATTTGTAAAAATATAGAGAAATTTAACTTACTTAACTAGAGCCCTCGGTTCGATCGAGTTTCACATCGTGGGCATAAGATCCCTTCCATTTTTCCACTTGGTAGTAATTGGTTCGACTGTAAATTATTGGTTATCCGTCAATTTTGAGGGATTTCTCTTCGCATTATTTGTCTTATTTGCATATAGTGTTTGCATATCCAAATATCCTTGCTGCCATGACTTGAATCAAATGCCTCGTTACATCACAGTAGATTCGATTTTGCAATTTGCATCAGTGGACCGATGCGAGCACCCGCAATCTGCACGCAATGCATCGCTCAGCGGCCAAATGTAACGTGATGTAGGGCTCTAAAACAATAGATTTGATGATGTCACGTTAGATTTCATGCGGAAAAAGACTCGGGACCAATGCATTCACGGATGCAAAATGGATGCCAGTGATGCCAAATTGAATCTAACGTGACGTAGGCACTGAGGACGTAGGTGATGCATTTTGCTTCAACTGTGACGTCAAAGGATGCGGTAAAAAATAACATATTTTGTCGCGAAAATATTGACACTTAAGAGTCGCAAAATAACAGAAAGTACACATTTGCGATCGCACGTCGCATATTGGACTTATTTTGACAATTTCGACTGTTATTGAGACTATTTAAATTGGATTTCATGCTAACTAATAGTGTATTCCTGACATGGAGTCAATTTTAAGCAAAGATTTGCGGGTTGATAGGAGATATTTTATTGCTGAGTGCTTTGAGTATTGGCGACATTATATATCTATATATTTCAAGCAACATGAATCATAATTTCTCAATTTTGACCGATGCATTCGCATCACTGGCATCGGTCTGGATTCGCCCCTGTGTCTAGTTGACTGATAAAAGTTTAGCCCGAAATTTATCCAAATTCTTATTTCTAAGATTTCTGATTCTTCTATTATCTTGATATTTGTTCTGGGTAGACTTCAAATGAACAAGAAAAAAACAGTTAAATGATCGGATATATCATTAAAAACAATACTAGTAAATCGTTTATCTGAGAGATGGTTTGAAAATATGTTATCAATTAATGTGGCAGAATGGGCAGTAATACGAGTAGGCCTAATTATTAGAGGGAAAAACATGTGTGAAAAAGGCTATCAACAAATTCTTCAGTTTGGCACATGATCATTACATCGTAGCAAATCGATGTTAAAATCACCTGCCACATAATAATACTTACTGTTGTTAGAGATTTTGGAGAGAATTTCATTGAATTTATCCGAAAATTTAACAAATGATTGATTCGGAGGTCGGTAGACTGATCATACTATTATATTTTTACCCATGGGAATGCTTATTTCAGCAAAAAGTGATTCAATTATCTTGGGGTCTGAATAATTACAATCATGAATTTTATACTGAAGACTTGAATGTGTGTAAAGACCGGTACCTCCGCCGTATTCGTCAATGCGATGATTTGAAATAAATGTATATCTCGGGAATAACAACTTGATCGGAGGTTGAACTAGTAAGCCAAGTTTCTGTTACGGCAATGACAGAGAGTGGTGTCAGAGGCAGATTAGCTAGCATTAATTTAAACTTGTCCAAATTTCTGATTAGACTATACATGCATTTAAATGCATGACAGAAAAAGTCGGACTGTGCAACTCAGTTAATATTTTGGCATTAATTTCTCCTTCTGTAAAATAAGACAAATTAGCATCCAGATCAAGATAGTTAACAAAATTGTTATTAAAATTAGTTTGGTTAGGATTGAATATAAGAGTTTCTAAGTGGTTGTTATTGTAATTTATTCGGCAATGGGATAGTTCATAAAGCATTAAATTGAAAGAAGCATTATCCAAATGATAAAACGGCAGGTTTGATATCACTTCGAACAGCTTGACCACTGCAGCTAAAGAAAAAGGCATTGGCTTAAACAAATTTAAATGTATTCTTGACGGTACATGATTTCAGTACTATACATATACTTGTTTGTAAATATTTTTATCTAAGCTTTAATATGTGTGTAATATTATATTAGGAAATTTTATTAGTGTGATGCATGTAAACGGCCCCTTGAAAAGCAGGTGTATATTTGAGCCCTGAAGGGTTACCGTTTTAAAATATTTTTACATAATAATAATAATAATAAAATAATAAAGTATTATGAGATGTTGACATCATTGCATAATTTCGTTAGGATATGTTAGCTTTGTTGATTAAACTTGTCCAGCAAGATCTTGTAGGTCGCCTGGCTTCTTCGTTATTATTGGGCGTGAATATTCAGTTTTTTGCAGATAGATGGTTGAGTTCTTAATCTAACAGAATCTATATGCATACTGTTGTTGGAATTTCTTTGCTTCTATTAAAAGCTTTTGTTCTTTTGGAGTGAGGTGATCATAGACTCTGGTGTTTAATATTGAAGCATCCGATGGCAGACCAAAGACTGTCGGTTCAATTTTGTTAGCATCTTGTCTGTGGATCATAACTTGTTCTTTAATACATCTTCTCATAAATTTACAAATTATAGACTTATGATAAGCTGGATTTCTAGATGGGACTCTGTGTGCAATATCAATGTCTTGTGAAGTAATATCCACACCCATTTTTTGAAATAATTTAACACAGAGATTGGAAGTTTCTTATGCTGATTCTTTTGATTTCAACTCTGGTATTCCGATGATCTTTACATTGTACTGATAGCTATAGCGTTCAATATTATCAATCGCTTGGCCAATTTCGTCTACTCTGGTTGTCAGGTTATCAAGCTTCTTGTTTAGCTGAGCAAAATCGTTTTTGGCTTTGTGACAAAAACTTGATAACTCATCATAGCCATTGCTTAAAAAATCAAGACTTTTACTCATTTTGTTCAATATGCTTGATATTCATGGTAGTTTAGTTACATAGCTGAATTTTCCATCATGGCGCTTGCTTTCTTCGAAGTGGAGTAGACTGTGAACAAATGAAAATTTAAAGAAAAGTTTATCATTTTCACTTCGATTAAAGCTTTTGCCAAATCTGTACGTCTTGTTCTATATTTCCACTCTGTCTTTGGATTCTCCAAGTGAATGGTGTTGAAATATTTAACATGGGGTACCGAGTTGCTGAAGCGTGAAAGGGCTTCGATTCGATATGGTCAGACACGAATTATGGTATTTTTCACATTGTAAAGGTACGTACTTGGTTAAATTACTTTTTAGATAAGGGACACATTGTGGATCATTGTTTAAATGGGAAAATACGGCGATCGACTCATTTCACACGGCTTGAGACACGAAGATGTTCTCACACTAGGTCGGCCTAAAAACAACACATGTTTGATCAGTGTTCTTTTCACAACCAAAACATTGAGCTTGTTTGGCGCGAAAACTAACCGTTTGAAATACCTAGCTTTCTCATTTCAAATATTTTCGCTGTTGTAAAAAAGTGCTTTTAAGTGCTATTCACTGCTGTTGGGTGTTCTAGTGGAGTTTTCAACTACAAAAAATTGTATTAATATTGTTCGCTTGTTCGACTATCTACTTGGCCGGTTTTGGACTGTCTCTGGACCAGTTTTTTCGCAAAAAAAATGGAAAATAAGATGGGAGAACTGACCAAGGACAAAAAGTACAGAGGTACGACCTGTTGTGTGCAACTTTGTAGAAGCAACAGTGTAAAAAATCCAGACTGTCTTTCCACAAATTCCCCCAAGATTCCAGCTTAAAGGAGACATGGCTGAATTTGTTGCATATAGACAAACAGCCATTGAAAAGCCATAAAATTTGCTCTTTGCATTTTCCTGGTGGAAAGAAATCATTTGGTGCATTACCAACTGTCCTTAAATTATCATGTAGACAAACAGTAAACAGTAACCAAGGTAGAGAGCATATTCTAAGGTGTGACTCTATTATAAATACTACTGATGAAACTACATCTGAACAGCAAACATCTGGCAATATATTTAAGCCTGATATTAAAACACAAGAGTCAAGCTACGAAAAATTGACAACTGAACATGCTGAATTGAAAAGAAAATATGATGAGTTATCATCAAAATATGAACAGTGTGTACTCAGAATAGAGCATATACTTGCGAGTGATACAACCTTTAAATTTTACACGGGTTTTCAAAATTACCAGACATTTCAAGCCTTTTTTGATTACCTGCAACCAGCATGCAATTTTTTAACCTATGCTGGTTCAAGTGACAATGTGGAATATACATCAGAATCAACTCGAAAATTAGGACGACCAAGGTCAATGTCACCAGAGCAAGAGTTGTTCATGGTCCTGGTTCGCTTACGATGTGGGCTTATGGGAGCTGACATTGCTTACCGATTTGGCATCTCAGAAGCACATGTTTCTCGTATCTGGGTTACTTGGTTAGAGTTTCTGTACCTCACAGGAATATATACAACAAACCATGCCACAGCCTTTCAAAGATACTTACCCAAACACCTGTGTAATAATTGATTGTACTGAACTACTTGTAGAAATGCCTACTTCATTTAGAAGTCAATCAGCCACATACTCATCATATAAAAATCATAACACAGCAAAGGGATTAATTGGAATTTCTCCAGCTGGTTATCCAACATTCGTGTCTGAATTATATGCTGGGAGGTCTAGTGATAAACAAGTCACCAAGGATTGTGGCATTCTTAATTTACTTGAACCAGGAGATCATGTTATGGCAGACAGGGGGTTCAACATAGAAAATGATATGCCGGCTGGTGTTGGGCTGAATATACCACCATTTTTGAATGGTGCACCCCAACTGTCACTTAGCGATGAAACTGAAACACGGAAAATTGCTGCTCTTAGAGTGCATGTAGAAAGAGCAATTGGGCGCATCAAAAATTTTAAAATAATCAAAAATGTTTTTCCACTGAAAATGTCATCAGACCTGAACAAGATTTGGATAATTTGTTCTTACCTTACTTTGTTTTATCCACCTTTAATTAATTAATAAATGTTAAATGTAAATTAAAATGCACAAATTAAATAATTCTTATTCAGTTTAATATATTAATTCACTATTTTACTAGTTTAGGGTAAATGTATGTGAAATAAAATAAAGTGAGTTTTGGTAACATTGTTTTGTACCATAATTCATGGTCAAAGTAAATTCTCTCACTAAAAATGTCTTGCTTAGTGTACACAATAAAATCTCCCCATTTCACTTTGCAGGTAGCCATAAGCCCATGTTATATTCATAACTAAGTTACTAACTTAGACAGTTTCTTCTATTGAAGCCCTGTTCTCAAACAAGTTATTACTGTTGTTTACAGTTTACAGTCATGCCAATAGAAGCGTTTCGAAAAATGTTGACCATTTCATTTCCTAACTTTGAGGAGTTCCTCTGAACAATTCTTCAACAATTTGATAAGTTCCTTAAAAAGTTCCTAACCTCCTGTTTCATTGACCAATCAGATTGCTCAAAAATAAAATATAAAACTTGATTCGTCAATGAAACAGGAAGTTAGAAACTTTTTAAAGAAATTTTCAAAATTTTAAGGAATTGTTCAGAGGTGTTCCTTCAAGTTAGGAAATGAACTGGTCCACATTTTTCCGAACACTTCTATTGGCACGAATGTAACATGAGAATGAAACTTGTCAAATAAGAAAGCACAGTATATATTTTAAAACAGTGGCAGATGATTTGCCAAATATAATTATATTGAAAGTGCAAATTTTTGGATGGCAGCACATCACATACTGCTTTCATATCATTAAAAATAAAATGGTTACAGTTTACACTCCAAAATCTTTCAAAGCCTTTTATTGGGGGTAAGGTGAAGGTTTACCCCTCTACTCTAGTATATGACACTGTTTTAGAATATGTTATAAATTCTAAATGATAGATGTAAATACCCTTAAAGAATAGTTTAACCATTAATAGGCAAGGACATACTGTAAATAGTACTACAAAGCCTATAATGGCTTTAATTAATGTGTAAAACATTTTGGAATTAGCCTATAGCCCTTGCCTTTTAATAGGTTAACCCATTTGTGAGTGGTAGCACTCTCCCCCTGACAAGTAAAATAGTCTGGCATTAGACAGATCGAGAATAATAAAGTAGGGCACATCAGCACACATTGCCACTTAATTAAAGGGTTTTAAACTGCACAAAACAACCCTAGTCAATGTCAGGTATAATCATCTTGTCATTCTTGTGTTAGACAGAATAAAATAGAATAGGGAGGATTGCAGAGAACTATCATCTAGTCCAATTTGTTATTTTCTACAAGCAGTGGTGGTAAAAAGTTAGAAAGGTAACAACAAATTACCCAAATCTTGTTCAAATTTGCTGCCATGGAAATTGAGAAGACTGCGTACTTAACATTTTAATGTTCTTTATTCTGGCAATTGCCTGCTCTACATGAATCCTCACAAAGGCTATTCTTCGAGTCTTGGTTTCTTCTTCAATTGACAGATGCTCTTTGTCACGCATGAATGGTGGTAAAATGTGATCAATATCAAATCCTCTATCAGCCATAATTGAGTCCCCATTTTCTGCCAAGTTCAGAATTCCACAATCAATAGTATTTTGTTGATCACTTGATCTTCCTGCATACAAATCTGATGCAAACGTGACAGCTCCTGATGGGCTGATGCCAACTAAACCCTTGGCAGTGTTGTGGCTTTTGTAAGTGGAGTATGTCGCACTTTGACTTCTAAAGGAATTTGGTTTTTCAATAAATATTTCGGTGCAATCAATAATAACTTGTGTCGAAGGATACATCTCTCTAAAAGAAACTGGCATTGATTTATCAACTGCTTCTCTGGATGGCCAAATTGGAAAACTACATAACCTTGAATGCAAGAAGTCAACCCAAGTAATAAATATTCTCGACATATGTGATTGAAACAACCCCAGCTCTGGTCGCTATACCTTCTTCTAAAAGCCCTAATTGCAGGTGAGCCAACACAAGAAAGAATTCCTGTTCAGGTGAATTTGTTCTTTTAGGTCCATGTTTAATTACATCTTCAGAGCTTAACCTTTCTGAATCAGTCTTGGTACCATAATACACCATGCAGATTATTCACTGCTGGTCCAAATGATTCAAACAATGTTTTGAAGGTTTTGTAGTCTTCCAGCCCCATATAAAACCTAATAGATTGTTCTTAAAACATTCAATTGAAAAATGTTTTCTTTTTTACCTCTTCTTCCAATTGCTCTGTTAATCCTCGTATCTCATCTTTTTGACATTTATTTTCATTTTTAAGTCTTCCATTCTCCTCCTTCAGTTTCTCATTGGTTGCTAAAAGTTTTGCCATTTGTTCTTGTAAACAGGCAATAGGATCAATATTCTCATTTACAGCCAGTGTAGCCATTTTATTTGGTTCTATTGAACCTGATAAATTATTGTTATTATCAAGTTCTGAAAAAAGTCTGCGCTTAGTAGGTACAGATTTTGTACTTGATACCAAAAGAGTTCGATTTCTTGCCTTTCCCGTTGAGCGAGATTTTGTAGGCGTGGGTCTGGTTGCTTTCGGAACAATCATTGGAAGTTGGTTCAAATAGGTTTTACATCCCCCAGGAAAATGCAATGAGCAGACTCTATGGCCAATTGTAGGAGAGAAATCCCTATGTGAAATGAGATTAATCCACCTCTTTCGAAGTTCTTTCGACTCTTTACTTTTACCACTAGGAATGCTGTAAAAGGAAAGCTCTGGATTCCTTTTATGGTTGCTTGAACAATCAGGAACACAACATGTATAACCACCAGCACCCCCACTTCGCCTCGTAAAATTTGACGAAGAAAGCTGACTACTGCACTGACTTTCAGAGTTATTCAACCGCAGAGAACTCGTGCATGAGTTCTCACAAGAATTAGAATCCTCGTTGATTTGAACAGCCTCTAATAGACGGTTAAGAACCTCAAAACATTCTCTTTCGACAGTAGGCCATCTTGAAATATTTTCCCGCCCTGTGACCACAAAGACCATAATTCACCGCACGCTTCACGTCTTGTGACGTCATTATGCATAAGGTCTATTCTAAAGTATGAAGAGGACATGCTGAAAGGAGATGGTGTTGTCAGAAGTTGTGGGCTTCTAGTAAGTCCAAAGTGGCCATGGCTGGGTTGCAGTCCGGATGGTGTTGTAGTAAAAGGTGGAGCTCCTGTTGGCTGTGTTGAAATTAAATGCCCACATCACATATGCAAGCAAAGATTTAAATATCTCTGAAGCTGTGCACAGCAGTACAAGATTCTTCCTAAAACAAACTGAAAATGTTTGGAAGCTTAAAGAAAAACATGCCTATTACTACCAGTGTCAAGGGGTAGTAAACATTTTAAATTTAGAATGGATTGACTTTGTGGTATATACTAATGTGGATATGCATGTGGAGAGAATTCACAAAGATAGTTCTTTGTGGGAAAATGTAATGCTGCCAGAACTGACATTCTATTTTTCTTTTATTCTTCCTCTAACCCATTGAGTTGCATTGTGCCATGATGCACCCTACTAATTTATTTACTATTTTACTCTGTCTAACTGTTACACCCAATGATTTTACTTGGTGAGGGGAGACGACTTGGTCTTGTGCTTTAACCCATTGACCTCAAGTGATTGCCCATTGATGAATAAAATTGTCTGCCATTAGACAGAGTAAAATAATAATGGGTTAAATGTGCTAGTGATTTACAGTCCGGTCTGTGCATGCACACATAGGAGGCTCCTGCCATGATTAAACACTTTAATTAGGTTTTTATTTCATTTTATGTTATTCCAAAGCCTGATTGTAGTATCTTGATCATTTATTGTACTGTAGAAGCATGAAAATATAAATAATTGTCGAATAAATTTCAATATTTTGAATACCGAAATGTAAACAAATAAGGGTGCACCGGATATAGTAACCGGCCAGATAACCTGGCTGGATTTTTTCCGATATCAGGCAAATAAACAAAAATACAAAAACACCCCTAGCACCCCTATAAACAAAGGCTTTGTTTACATACGGACTGTACCCTACCTTTAATTAATCATTAATTTCATGATGTGTAATTAGTGAATTATTTGTAAAATGACATGATAATTTTGTTTATAAAAGGCAAATTGTGAAATTGGTTTAATCAAACATATTTTTGCACAAGTAGAAGAGGGGGGGGGGGTTAATTAAGGGTGGCTTAGGGGGTGTTATTAAGTAACAACAGGGATCAAAATGACCCGGTTAGTGTTTATCCATATTTAGCTACATAAAACTCCATCAATCCCCTTCAAGCCATATGTATTCGTAATATAAAACATGGCTGGCAAGTATCAGCTATGGCGTCATATTTCCGCCAAAATTAAAGATCGTATTTGCAACATTATAGTTCGTATTCGCAATATTATAGTTCGTATTCGCAACATTATAGTTCGTATTCGCAACATTATAGTTTGTATTCGCAACTATAGTTCGTATTCGCAACATTATAGTTCGCATTCGCAACATTTTAATTCGTATTCGCAACATTATAGTTCGTATTCCCAACATAATAGTTGGTATTCCCAACATTATAGTTGGTATTCCCAACATTATAGTTCGTATTCCCAACATTATAGTTCGTATTCCCAACATTATAGTTTGTATTCGCAAGTTGAATTTTGGTGGATGAAGGTGTCAAATCTCCGCCAAAATTCAAGTTTGTAAATTAAAGTTCATATTTGGAAAAATTCGCTACAAGTGGAAACACTGAAAAGCAACAGTGCTTGGGGCTTTGGGCCAGTGCTTTGGGCTCTCTCATCCAGCTGCGATTTTATACTGTTATCTTTTGGCAGTTTGCCTATTAAAATGAATCAAGACGATATAAATACGGCGAGGGTTGAGGGAAGCGTTTTTGCAGGTGGCAGATTGCCTATACGTGTGATTTAGACCCCAGTTAAGCCTGTTTTCCACTAGCGAATTTCTTTGTGCGTAGTGAATTTTCTATTGTTTAAATTAAAAAGAATTGATTAAAAATGTAATTAGTTCCAGCCAAGAGCTCATAATACAAAAGATTCGTGAGAACACATTCGCTAGTGGAAAACAGGCTTTACACGGTACCAGATGAATCCACCATGAATGCACCCACAGACCCCCACGTTTCGGCAAAAACACATATAAGCAGCCCTATTTTCGGAACAGACTGTTGCGGAATTTTCGGGTAAGCGAAATTCTACATTTGCTCTATCTTTATGATTCATGGTGGATTCATCTGGTGCCGTGTAAAGCCTGTTTTCCACTAGCGAATTTGTTCGTGCGAATCTTTTGTATTATTAGCTCTTGGCTGGAACTAATTAGATTTTTAATCAATTCTTTTTAATTTAAACAATAGAAAATTCACTACGCGCGAAGAAATTCGCTAGTGGAAAACAAGCTTAACTGGGGCCTAAATCACACGTATAGGCAATCTGCCACCTGCAAAAGCGATTCCCTCAACCATCGCCGTATTTATATCGTCTTGATTCATTTTAATGAGGCCCGTTTCAGATGGCATACTCTTCATGTGCCGAACTTAATTGTATTAGATGCGACACAAGAACGGCAGTGATTCAAACGGCGTACCAAATACAATACGTACCAAATACAATGCGCCCCAAGGCGCATTTGCCAGCGAAACCTCAATAAAATTCAAAATAAATAAGTTTATTTTTAGACTAAAGTTGAGTTAAGTTTGGCACATGAGTGGAGCGGCGCATGCTCTGCCGAACTTGTGTCGAACTTTTGCTGATCCAAATTCTGCCATACTTAATTGATTCATACGCCGCTCTTCTGCCGTACCTAATTCATGAATTAAGTTTGGCACATGAAGAGTACGCCGTCTGAAACGGGCCTGATGAGAGAACCCAAAGCCCCAAGCACTGTTGCTTTTCAGTGTTTCCACTTGTAGCGATTTTTCCAAATATGAACTTTAATTTACAAACTTGAATTTTGGCGGAGATTTGACACCTTCATCCGCCAAAATTCAACTTGCAAATACGAACTATAATGTTGGGAATACGAACTATAATGTTGCGAATACGAACTATAATGTTGGGAATATGAATATGAGGTTGGCTGTACTGTATGTCAAAGAATCATGATACCATATTTTCTACCATGAATTATATTAGGGATTAAAATTAGTAAAATACAAAAAGTTGCCATTAATAAATAATAACAGGTTAAAAAGGCTAGAGGTTGAAATAGCGTAGGACAGACACGCTTGCATCATGTTTTGACCCAACAGTTTTCTTCCTCTGGGATTTTGTAACAAGGAGTACAAGTAGTCAAGTATTTGGAGGTTAAGAAATGAATGAGAGCTTTGGAGTTAGAATGAGAGATAAATTAATATCATCAAATTTCTTAAGCAGGGTAGCTGCAAATAGGTGTAAGCAGAGGAGTGTGGTAATTCATTTGACTTGTAACATAACAAGAAATTTCCATTCAAAAATGTCAGAAAATGTAAAATTGAGGTAAATTAATGACAGCAATATTGCCAACAAATATAAGTCAATTTGCCAACAACTTGATTTCAGAGGGGTGTCACACTCGACACACCCCATGCTGGTGACAGCCCCTTATCCAACCAAATTTTTGATACAGGAGCATTCCAACACTGCGGTACTAGATCATTCTTTGTTATACAGTACCGGTATTTATTTGCAAAGTTGATTTAAATAAGGCATCTTATTGTCAAACAGCATAGAGTATAACTGAGGGTCATGGTAAGATAGTGTATGGTTTATCTACAGGGTAGTTCAACCAGTGGCATAACATTGCAGTAAGTGGGTCCCGGTTTAAATTTCAGATGGGTCCCTTAGCACTGCTAATTTTGCCTTCAAAGTGGTGACAGGTATGGAGTGGGTGGGGATTCACTAAATATTAACATTACCTTGCCCTAACTAATACAAAATCTCAAGTGCACAGGGCTCACAATTTGCAGTATCCCAATTAGAAGTGTGCATTGGATTGGACGTTTATAATCCAACAATTGGCTAATGTTTAAAATCCGATCCGATCCAAAATTGTCTAATCCGAATCCGATTGGAGTTCTAATAAAGTATTCCAATCCAATCCGAAGATATATAAATCACGTTGAAATGTTTAACCAAATAAATATGCAAGAAATACATGTCAAGAAGCTGACAAAGTGACATCCAATTGAAGTATCAAACGAAAAATGCAGCAACAACCACGATAATGCTTTGATAAATGCATAGATAATTAATTCTTGCAATAATATGTGGATAATTAATTCATTTTATTTCGAATATCGAAGTCCAATCTGATCTGACTGCGAAACAACTGTATCAATTCGATCCGATCCGAAATGTATATTTTTGTTCCAAAATCCGAAGGAATCCAATTCAGATTCCAATATACATGGGATGTCAGACTTCAATTTTGAATATCGAAGATCATAGTCTTAGTATAAAATAAAACAAATTCCGAAAATAGACATCTTGTGTTCTTGATATTCAAGATAAAAACAAGAGTGTAAAGACAGAGTCGGTAATATTTCGTCTTTATTCCAAAGACATCGTCAGACCTATGAAATTACAAGTAAGCTGTGATCTATATGTATAGCTATTTACAGACGCAGCGGAAGTTTAAAATTACTAATGGCTTTAGAACAATGATAGTTTTTTACAAGCTTTTAGACCACTATTGAGATGTGGCATATTACGCTTTATCAGTAGTGCTTCTAGGATAAGAAGTTGATTAGGATTATTATTATTACAACGATATAGGATTTTAGTATTAGTTTGAATTAGATTACGAGGGTTGCAAAGTAAGTCAGTGAAATCTTCCTCAGAATCAATGTCAGGAAATGAGAAAAGGCGAGAGATGAAGTGTGCGTCAGGACAGTCTAAGAGATGTTGAGATATGGCACTAGAATTGTTGTAGT